CAAGTACAGATTAATGCAAGTAAAATACTATTTTTAGGATCCAAAGTATAATGGAAAAATTATTGTTGTGTCGCATTAGTTAGGTTACATCTGTTGCTTAACTGCTCAACTTTGAAATATTAAGTATTAATGCAAGATAAATAACACTTTTGACATGCATTTAAAGTTAACTTACAATTAATATATAATGAACACGTGAACAGAAGAGCGATGGTATTGCATCACGGTGTAGTTAAGAAATTATTCTTCTCTATGAGTCCGATCTCGCGATCCACTGTCTGTAACACTCCTTCCTCGTGCTTTACCAAATATTACTCTTATGTTAGATCTAAACAGCGCTTTTTTTCGGTTAACTAAAGATATCCGAAGACGATTTTCCTTTTTGTGAAGAAAAAAGAAATGCCAAAGTCTGATTCTTCCCTTTTTACATGCAGTGTTGTAAAAAAATGTAACTAATTATACGATACAAGGTTCAGGCAGTTCAGCAAGATGTTTTCATGAATTGCGATGTATTATACGGTAGGGGAAAATTGTCTTAACAGTCAAGCATATTCTCTTATTTCGAGTACCACAACCAGTAACTTTTGTTCTTACGCAACAGGAAAGATACAACACTTTTCGACTTTCAAAATTTGGTCAGGCAGCATTGAAACTGCAGTTATTGCCAACCTGTGCATATTAGTAACGATAAGATATTAACAGCTGATTTTTGTCCTTTTTTTTCTACATCACAGGCTTTATAACTTTCACTTCAAAGGCTCAACACTCCGTCGTAGCTTTAGTCTTCTAGTTTGCTTATTCTCTTTTCTATTTTGGTGGTTGAAGCTATAAAAATTATCACTTTCTCCTGCGCCTTTTCTCGTGAAGTAAGTGGTAGCTGGAAGATCCTTGATTCAAATTCTGACGTTCCGACGACGGTATAGTCGATTTTCTCCAATTCTCGCTCCAGCAATCTTATTGCCTCTGCAGAATAGTAAGAACTAAAATGTGATGGACTATAATTCATAGCCACCTGCAATGATTTATGCTCTCGGTCTTAAAAAAAAAGCTTATTTTCACAAATTTTTAAAATTTTAAATTTTCAGCACTTTATTTGAATTTCTAGCGTAAGTTTGAAAAATGTAATTGTATTTTTAGAATTCTGAGTTAAAACTTATTTTAGCTCCGTAACTAATTTCTACGTAAATGAAAAGTATACCGCCACTCAAATATTTTCTCTAAGCCTATTAATAATAATAAAATCATTGTACAAAAGGTCGGTGTTAGAAGAGTTCAACATTTAAAACTATGAATGTGTAATTCTAAATATGAAAGTAAACAAGTCGGAAAGCAGGTTTAGAATGCAAAAGAATTTTCTCTCCGTCTCTAAAATATGTATATAACTACCTGATAACGGGTAAATTCAGTTTAAGATGCAGTTTATTTTTATTATTTAAACAGCGGATTTTCATTGAAAAAAAAACTACTTGAATATCAGTTCTCGTCTAACGACTGGTACAAATGTTTTAAATCGGTTTTTGCTCAACAATCGTTGGTTGCGTAGGGACAGTCTGAAAAACACATTGAATTGTCAATAACCAACAATTGGCGACTGTCTCTTCTCTGAGGGATTTGTTTCGAAAATATGCACCATATTTAAGAAATTATAAATAATATTTTTAACACTAGTTTGATTTCCATGTATTTTAGAACGTAAGAAACGTTTAACACGGCTTTCAAGGATCGCTTGGAATTTTTCAACTCGTATAGTTTACTGGAAATTTCAAAGCCTTTTTCTGAAAAACCTAACATTCAGCAATCCATGATATGCTTCAGAAAGGACATCAGCATGTAGCAAGATACAAGTACAAAACCAAGCACAAAAAGCAGAGACTGAATACAAGCAAGCTTTTTAAAAATCTAAATCTTAAATCAATCAAAACGCATGTGAGAACAACATTTCGTGCAGATAATTATTTCTTTATTTTAAAAGCCTAAATAAGATGAAAACAAAGAAGCAGAACTGACACCCGCGTTTCAAACAAAAACGGTGTTTTAATTTAATAAGTTCCCAAAGTTAAGGTGAAGTAACTACGTTTCTGTCTCAAGCAAGAGTGAAAAAAATAGAATCTTATAGCAAAAGTATATATATATGCAGTTGGGATAAGAGAAATTTTTTATTATTATTAACTTTTTATTATTCAGTTAAATATTAATAATAATAATTTATTTTTTAACATAATTCTTTCGGTATATTATTAAATCCATAATTATAATTATTTAGTCTATAGGAATATTCACTTTTCTGATGTGAATAAATCTCAAAACTCTTATGGCCTAAATATGCATTATAAGTCTACCCTCTTTCAAAAGCCTTATTACTTACTGCTCAGACTCATAAGCCCAGGTCTAGAGCCCCACATGTTAGGTGGCCATTTCAAATCTTTGAATTGTTCTAATTTTATTTCACCCCAATAGAAAAAGGAGAAATGGGCGTTAGGGATTCTAGAAAGCAGATTGTGATTAAGAATCTCCCACGATTATGTTGTATGAGGCTTTGCTTTAACACAATTCTCTCTTTCTATGCTTTTCTTTATATATCCGACTCTCACTACATTTCTATTTTTGACCTATTTGTGGCCGAGTGAATAAGACCGCTCAGCATTGGTAGTTTGACCCGGCGAACAGCTAGGCTGCATGGATGCCTTTCTGATACCATCTGTTTCACTTAGTCATTTCCCTTAGACAAAGAGATCCCGCGTACTTTGCCAAAAACAGGTTGACCTATTTCGTCATGTTCTGTAAATCTGAAAGCACACTTTTCTTCCTCTTCCTCAACTTTTAAATGTATAAATTATGTTATTTGGATTTCGAACACGTTCACACCAAATGCAAAAATCATTACTTGTATTTGCTGAAAACTAAATGTATTCGTCATCTCCTTCGAATAAATACGGGATTCTTATATTTATTTGCAAAGAACATAATTTTGACCCTTGAAAATCTGATGCTTATAAGAGAAGATTACAACTCAAAGAGTTTCAAGAAAAAAAATGTCATCTGTTCTCAGCCCACATATCAATGCTATTATGGACACTTTCATGGTCTTACACGTTAAAAATTATTACTAATTATTACTACTACTAGAAAAGATTTCTACAGATAATCTGGAAACAGATTTATAGAAGTTCCGATTGTTGTTTGCGGTCACATACATGTTTCTAATCACATCAACTGAAACGTGCCAGCACTACTAAAGACAAACAAAAAAATTCGTTTAATTTCTGCAGTATTACTGTTAAGGAATGATACTCATAAATGAATTATAATATAACATACGTTCGCAATTCTAAGAACAAATACATATAAATTATTTTGAAACTCACCTGAAATTTGTTGAGTTTTAGAGGTGCGCGTTGTAATTCTTTTAACCATTCATTAATATTTCTTAACATTTTTTCTACAGTATTTGGATGTATGGAAATAAATATTTTATCCCCAAAGCAAAGAAAATAATTCTATTTTAAGAAAAATAATGCCACTCAAGTTCTGGCCAAACTACTCTCGCAGTAAGATGGAGGTCTGGAAGTTGACAACAGTGATGCAGACAAGTATGCTGGATATTAGGCTGCCTCATCACATAGCTTTTGGCTGTCAGACTGCTTTCCCTTGTGCTTCCCATCATTTCTGCATCCTCGCTGGTTGACTAAAACATCTCTATCCTAGCTGCGATATAAGTGCGATCTAAAACTGATAGTCCAATCCTGATTATTGTTGGTTAGTTCTGCGATAATGTGAATAACCCTAGATTGTACAAATTAAGTCTGTTTGGAGGAAAGTGGACGAGCGTCTTTGAAAATAACTAATTAAAGAGTTATCGAGTTACATTATGGAATTGCTATGAATCGACTCCCAGAAATTCACTAGCGCCAATATTTACAAGTTTTAGTGTATGGAATATAAAATGATTACAGAGTTCATTGTTTCCACACGAACATGGTTACAGACGAGTTTTAGTTATACTTGATGCTATTTCTATGTGATAATATTATTAAGTTTTTCAAAATTTGTCATAGACATTGAGCTGCTAATCCACGTATCATGCTTATCACGTTGGGATTTCGATTTGAGATGGTAAAGATATATTTTAAGTAAAAAACTTAGGAATTACTAAAATGCCCGAAAGTCTAGGCTTGTCAAATCGAAGATACTCCTGTGTCTGCGGCAGCTAAGTATGCTGAAAGTAGTTTTGCACATGGTTGGGAATTGGATGTAAATGTTTGATCATACTGCCTAAAAGCATTATTGGATTCACAGATCACAAACTTACTCACCACAAACTTAATAATACTGACCAGACAAATAGCACACCAACAGATGTCTTCAGATGAATACCAAATGTCAAGTGCTGGATTCACATGCTGCTGCAAATTCTTAACAAGCGTAGCATTCATAATATATGGCGAATGTAACATTAAATATGACAGTCATGCTTCTAAACCTATGTTTGCATCAAAACATTTCATTCCGTTATATTCCATGACGCATAACTGGTAATTAATGGGCATCAATGCATTTGAAGATGTCAATTTATAATAATTAGATGACGTATTGCAGCTTTTTTAAATGGGAGTTTTCCTTCTAGCGCTCATTTTAGCAGACTTAGGTTTCATAACTTGTCTTAATTTCGTTTAAGGGCAGTTGCTATCCCTTCTACAGGATCAAACATGTTCCCTTTACTAAAGATAGATTTGACCTGGGACCGTTCGTTTAAAAAAACAGATTTTTCTAAGTGAAAGGTGAAAATGGACATTCGTTTACGATATATTATATCATAACAAAATATATTAAAATAACATATTAGAGTAAAAGTAATACATTTATGATTTTTGTGGCTATTTAACACATTTTTGGAGGAAATACTTTAAAACAATTGGCGCAATAAAAGAGTTAAACATTATAAGACCACGTATTTTTATTTACGTTTTAAAATTAACAGCAATAATCATTATTTCCTTTACCTGAGAATTGAGTGACAGGAAATGCATTTGCATGAAAGTGAAGAGTGCATGTATAATTGGTTGAATAAAATTCAACTTGTCCACACAAGGTTTTTCCATTGTAAATAATGTGGCAGTTTCCAGTCCAATGGCTATCAGAGTGCCTAGTCCAAATACTGAGAACAAAAAATAGTATTAGTTTTAAAGATGAAAAGCAAAAATTTGACAGTCTGAGAAATGAAGATAATTTCCATTCTAGAAAAAAATTAATAAAACAAAAATATTTATTGCGATCTTGTATCAGCACACTTTCAACAGCAAATATTTTGTATATTTATGAAGCAAAATCAATATTCAGTGACAAGCAAGACACTTATTCATCACGAACAGATTACGTTTATCTCTGTATATGTACTTGCATAAAATGACATGAAAATTGCCTGTCAGGCACTTTAAATAAAACAAATACTTCTCTAAAGTTTTCATTAATTGAATAATACGAATACTATTGTTAATTCTTTTCTATTCCCGTCTGGAAAGAAATGGTTTATAATTTAAAGAACATTTTTCTAGAACAACTGGAAATTGAATCTCTTGTGAGGAAAACTTGAAACTATTGCGTCACTTCTTTGTCGAAGGGTAATATGATATGGTTTTAGAACATGATCAACAAAAACGTACATATTATTTCTAGAGTCCCTTTAATTTTCTCATGCTTCCCTTACACCATTTGGATCACAACTTGGAGCATTGAAACTGCTTCTCTGCCCAAGAAAGTGACATTCGCATCTTTGGCATTATGTGAAATTTGAACCGTTATGCATTTGAGTGCTCTCACTTGAAGAAACTGTCTTAAGCATAGTGTTCTAATTTTCTTCGTTACACGAAACCCCTATAAATGTTGCAACGTCATATTTCTTTCGCAGTAACTAACGAACTCCCCAAATATACTCTAGAAATAACCACTTAGCATTTATCTTAATTGTAAGGATGAACTCGTCCTTCACGACTGTAAATATTCTGCTCTCTTAGTGTTAAATCTGTTAAGTAACTGAATTTTATGTTTTATTTTGTATTTTCTTCATCCGAAAAAGAATTTAAAACAGAATGGTCATTTAAAAAATATTATTGGGTTAAACTAGATAATGAAGCTGATTACCATTCGAAATACGATAGGCTTTATTTGGCATATTGTTATAGTTGTGCCCTCTATTAGAAGTTAACGCCAAGCAGTCTCACATTATACGTCGACCATCTCTCGCTGAATAGTCACAAATTTCGTCCATTAACATTAATAGACAGTTATGCCTATTTTTTATAAAATATTGAGAAAAAAACTTCTTATATTTTTAAAGCGCTGTGATATGAACGAAAGTGAGATACTGAAGAAAGAAGGAGAGATATTGAATAAGATATTGCAAATGCGATATCATGTAAAGGACATGAGATATTAAGTAAAGTAAGCCAACTTTTGTAACATAATAATTACAATCATGATTTTATCTTAATAAATAAATCGACGGCAATCCATTCCTGCAAAACAAATTCTTGTTCTTGCTTCTCTAAACACAGAATATGATCATACTCCCCTCATTTTGGGAAAAGATGTCATAACATCTAGTCAACAGGTGAATTTTTATGAAAAACTAAATTAAGATAACTTTTTTTTGCCTTTTTCAAAACTAGGTGATTTTAACAATTTCTATAAAGAAAATATATGATAAACTTTTCTGTACAACAAAACTGTTGCTATTTGTGCGGAATTAAATATAACTTTCCTTACAGTAAATGTTTAGTTATAGAATTAATATTGAAATATAGATTCAACCATTAACCTTCTTGCATCAACGAAGCAAAAAGCCGACATTATTTAATTCAAAAGCGATATTTCACATCTCTGCACTCCGGTAACGTCAAATCTGCGTCAAAATGTTAAAAAAGATTGTGAAAATTTTCTAAAAGCAATGGTTTGTTACATTGTTCAAATTTGGCATATATTTGAGAAGAAGGCAATGACGCATCAGTAACTATATTTGATCAATATTTACACATTTAATTCATCTGCGACTTAATTTAGCACCTACACTTTAATTAAATAGCTTCAAAATGCTGTTTAGTTACCGTATTTCGTTTCATGAAATTTTGTTGATTACTTGGCATATTTAGCACTCTGTATATTTTTATGCATTAGTAACACGGTGTAATTCAATCTTCATGCAGAACTTAGAAGAGCCTATCGCTTTTAAATACAAAGCAAATTTCTAGAAATTTGTTGGTAATACATAACTAAATATCAAATGGTTCCAGGTTTGAAGTGATAACAGTAATACGGCAAAATTGCTGCAACTGGCTACACAGAAACTATGATTAGACAACAAAATTATATAGAAGAAGAATTAGTACTTCCGTGGTACATACTCAACCAGGAACAATACAGCTACAGCGGCAAGAGCTGTATAACGTAATAATAAAAACTAGACGTTATTCTGGAAAAGCTTTTTGATTACAAGTTAAAGCTATGTGTTACTACATGAAGGAAAAAATTCTAAGATGAACATGTTCACTGTGCCCGTCAAAATGCTTAACTTCAGGGATTTGTATAAAAGAAGTAAAAATTCAGAAAGTAGACTAATTCTTGCACATTTTCTGAAATTTTTATGTGGCTTTATGGCTATTTAGAGCTAAAAAGAGAGGTCTTCATACTGTTTATAATATTCTTAACTAGTTTTTGTACGTATAAAATGCACTTCATACGCAAGCATTACTGCGTAGCAAAAATTAATTATAGACAAATGGCTCCTATAAAAGGTTTCACATATAGCCACAAGATTTTGAATAAGCAAATGAGATGCGATATTCGCCTAGTAGGTGAATAAACTGTGTCATTTATATGATTTTGCGCAAACCACCATTATTTCAACACTGTGGTAGCTTCTTTAGCTGATGTGATTTCTTCTTATTTCAGATGAGCGGCATCTTATCGCTAGAAACATTTCTTTGTAATTGTCAAAGCTACGATTGAGACTAGTCTAGCTAAAGAAATGAAGCAAAAGAAATACTCATCCAGGTACAGATATCTTTGTCATAAACTGTTTTGAAAATCAGCTTGCCGTGAATTCTTTTTTCTTGCGATTGTACCAAGCTCGTAAAGAGAAAGATTTTACTTTGGATTTCTATCGGTTAGAAAAATATGATATTTATTTTTTTTTTTAAATCGTAATTTGCCCTGATCCTGATTTGGTCAATGGCGAATGTCTTTCCACTTCTTGAAACAATATATTGACTACCATTTTACAAATCAGGTTTATTGAGCACATAATTCTGAAACTGATCTACTTCTATTCGTCTGACAGCCGTTCTTTGTTGAAAATAGTCCATTCAATACTTGACTGTCAGGAATAACTGAGTTCGTAAGTAGTACGTCAGTGCAGGTTGGAAGTAAATGTCATATGAAATTGAGCAATAGCGCTGAAGAGTTGTTCTGTAAATTCTGTGAATAAATAATATATGTGGAACATTTTTTCATTTGATCTACGTATATTAGTTTCATATTATTATTATAAGACTTCCCTATAACAGATATGTTTTACAGCTTCCTTATAAAAGTATGCCGACAACATGTCGTAGCATATGTTAGTCAAACAATTTGACAATAATCCTAAGCTGGTTGTAACTTATCCCTTTCTTGGAAAAAATTAAAGCATTATCAAAATGTCAAATCTGTGTGACTAACGACATGATGAACCAAATGAGCTTAACTCGGTGAGCTTAACGCTATGAATAATTGCTATAAAACTTACCGCTTTCTTTTAAATTGCAGTAATTGTTCGTGAGAATAAAGATACATATGTTATGACATCATCTGGTTTATTGCAGTCACTTTTTATTACATTACTGTTTTGTATCCAGTATGAAATAATCATTTGCATGTATAATTTGTAAGATTTTGCTGTCTATTATGAACAAGACAGCAGATCTTTCTCTCGAACACCATGCCTTTAGTATCACTAATTGCATGAAGCAATATTTCGGAACACATAACGCTGTGCTTTCTCAGCATGCTTTTAATGAACACTTATGTGTGATAAATCAACTTTGATGACATTTCGTAGGTAGTTCAATAGTTTATTAGTTTTATAAAATATAATTCAAAGCTTGCATTAATATTTATACTTAAGATACTTACCCAGAGCACCCACTCTGAAGAATATGCTAATCTCTGGCACAGAATATGCTTTTCTTCTCAAAACTGATTCAGTTTCAGGTGTAGACTGGTCTAATTCCTCTAGTTCCTCAAGTCCCGGACATTTCTGGAGTACGAGACTCATGTAGATACATAATATACATAGTATCGCAGCTCCAATGAGGAATGTGAATAAATAGCCCTTTAAATGGGAAGGAAAAATGCTTTAAAGATTTCATTTATCTTATACCCATAGTTGTTTTTTAATTATGGCTTCAAAATCAGGTCGAGATACTATCGATTTAAGATTTATTCTACAAACCAAAATCATTATTGCATACTTACATTATTACATTAATAAATATTTGCATAAAAATCTTGATTTCCTTTTAAATTTGTAAACTTAAACTCCCGTCATGATTTCGGTTGCACATAAAATTTAACTTATTAATAAAAGATACACTTAAAGTGGAATAATAATGCACTCTTAAAATTAAATATATATTGCTAAGAAAAGGCAAAGAAACTAACATCAGGCTAGATTAGAATCTGCAAGAGGAAAAACACACAAATTAATTTAAACAAGCCCTGAGTTACCTAAAAAACAAAACACAAAAAAAAAAAAAAAAATTAGGATAACAAAGCAACGATAAAAAAATCTTTATCATTCTGCGTAACACTTAAATTGCGATTTGAAGCAAAAAGTATCTGTCATAATGCGCGTTGTTTGAACCTATGTCTCTAGACAGCAGCAGATAACATGTTTATTTTGTACGCATGGCATTTTTTTAGTTCTCCCTACAAATTTCCTATTTTTTGTCTTCGTTTCGGAACTCTTAATAAAAAGATTAGTACACATCATGTTTCTATTTTAGTTTCAATATGCTGACTTTCGCCTTTCTCTCCCATAGTCAACGTCTCACAGGTATCGTTAATGTACCTGTTGAAGGGTAAATTCCAGAACCTGGAAACTTGTCAATTAGGCACAGCTGAAAGAGTAGAAAGATGAAGTAAGAATCAGTAGCTATTAACTTTTTATCAAGATTTTGAAAAATTAAGGAATTACTTTTCAATTTGGACTGACTTTTTTAAGAAGACATCTGTGTATTGGCATACTACCTAGCACTTCTTAGGACACTGCGAGTAAGTTTAGCATTGACACGCAAGCCTTTGAGGTTCTGAAGAGATTCAGAAAGTGGCTAATGTCTCCCGATCTCATGTATTTTCTTTCAGTTTTAAATAAGATGAAAGAAGAATTCATTGCATATCTTAATAAAAGCGTGTCAACTCAACAAAAATACGATTCCATTAGGATTTTTAGAATGTGCTGTTAGATATTTTCCTCCTCCTTCCGGCATGCTTTCTTGGTGTAAAGCACACTTGAAACGTATTCTGGAGGTCCGGGGTTTGAATTCCGGCGATGGTACTGCACATTTTTCACGTCTCCAGCATAAAAAACCTAACGATTTTACAGTATATATAATGTATAACTAGTATACTTAATGATTTTACAATATACATAATGTTGTAGATTGAATCTCGATATCTTTGACCTTGTTATGGTTCTATTTTCGAACAGGCAGAGAGTGTTTGAAAGCAAATTCGAATACTGAATGCACATGCAGGTTTATAGCAGCGTCATGATTGCATGTGAATTCAATATGATAGGATTTAGCTTTGTGATCTACGATAATTTTCACCATTCAATAACAGTGGGAAACAGCACCTACGCTCAGGTGTTCCCCCAGATTGAAACAAGCCATGAATCACATTGTTGACGAAGTCCAGAATTTCTGTAAACAGCGCACAACTATACTGTTCCTCGTTCTAGTAATCTACTGTCTGAAGTTAAACAGCACATTGTATAATAGACATTCGAAGAGATATTTAATTAGATGTTTCCAAATGCACTAGTCGTTCTCGTACAATTTTATATATTGATTAATAAACCGTATTTCTTTATGTCTTCTAAAGGTACCAGCAATGGACTGCTTGGATTGAATCGCATTTAGGAGAATATAAGGATCTTATTATACAGCTGTAACCCTTAGTCGTCCTGAATTTAAGCTTCGACAGATATTTGCGCTTCACTGAAAGATCTCAGAATGACGCTATGGTGGTAGGTAGAACATTTGGGATACTAGATCTTATCAGCTTCAAGAAGATATCTGATTATAAAATCATTCGTATGAAGTGACTGAGCCACATTTACTTATTAACAAGCGTTATCATGTCTCAGAGCAAAGCATCTGAGCTGTGTTGTGAAGCTGTAGCAAATGTTTACAACATTGCAACACATTATCGCCTCAGCAGCTGCGTCTCTTTTTTACAGAAATTATTTAGCAGTTAATGGGCGTAAAATTCAGTTTATTTCCTAAGTACGTGCTTGCAGTAATTCACATGAATCTCCGACATGCCTATATGCAATGTTGTTCTAAAATTCGGAGTTTTCCATGGTTTTTGACTGCAGCTATAGTTTCACAGCAAACTTACGAAAATTGGTACATTATGAGTTCAACAAATTTTATAGTTCTACACTAATTTCCATATTTACAATGATCAATAGCTGAATAATGGCATGAACTAAACTATAAAACTTACATGGTAGAAAAACAATGGCACACTATTTGGTAGAACTTCAGTTGTGACTAGGATTGCTGTAGCTGCTACAAGAAGTTTGGCGTAAAGGCCGCTGATTAAGTGCGTTGTACCTCTTACAGGCTTGGGCCTGAAACGAATATGAAAATAAATTATTACGTAATTAATAATAAATATTGTATTTATGGAATTTCTATCTCACGAGAATTTGAACAATGGAAAATCTGTATATCTCTAAACAATTAATATTTTTGCCTTTTTTATATTATTAATTAGAAAAGTTACAAGTGAATCGGATGTGAAAAATTTGTGATTTTTACAGGATTTAAGATTAATAATTCATTAATAACAACTAAAATTAACAAATAACGTTAATCACTAATTATTACAGACGAAAAAAGTTGTTACTATACCACTATTGAAGAGACAACATTTTTAGAACAATGTTGGGGAGCTGAAAGTATGTTAGAGAAGAAAGCAGAGAGAAAAAAAAAAAAACTTACGTAACTAAAGCTAAATATGAGAAGAGCTTCCGGATTTAAAATCTTTACTATTATTTTCTTTTAGTGCCCTTAGCATAAAATATAACTATAAAACAATAATGATAGGAAACTGCGCAACCTCTCACATAATTCCATAAGTGCAACCAAAATCTGAATCTTACTAAAATTTGTAAATTCAGCCATATAATTCAGAAAAAACTCTAAATAAATAGACAAAATATACGCATTACAGGAGTCAGACAGTAATCATTTACAAGATGCACTGCACTGCAATTTGCACAGAATACAAAGTTTTCCTTAGATCTTTCTCAAACAGAAATTATTTTGTTTAAGAGATAATGTTAATGTTGGGTTTTTCCAACGTTTTGAAACTTCAAATAATACTTATGTACTTTATGCAACAAAATTAAATGCGTTATTTGGGAATAGAATGAACCATAAAATAAATTTCACGCTGAGTTTCAAATTATTTATTCTTCAGGGAGTGTATTATTCAGATTTTTACGTTAAGTTTGAAGATTGGAATTTTACTATTTTAAAATATTTAAAGTACTACCTTTAACTCACAACTGAATCTCAACACAAGAAGGTTTTAGACAGGCACCAATGCTTTGTAACTAAACAGGTTTTTCTAAATTCCCTGCTGTGTACAAGAGAGCATCTAAAAGAAAATCTGATGTGGGCACCGCATGACTTCCTTGTACGGCCTATTAAACTATAAAAATTTTTTGCTGCACTTCATTTAAACTTATTTCTTTGAATTATTCTAACTTAATTAACCGAGTCCCCAAGGCAAATTAAACACGACCTAAGAAATTTCAAATTTTGAAATTAAATATCCTGGTCAATTTTTGTCCTAAGAAAATCAAACGTTTTCTAATTTTATTTTTTCATAATGAATATAAATCTTTCCCAAATATAAGTATCAGGAGACCCGGGATTGCATTAAAAGTTGAATTTCGTTATTTGTCGAAAATTAGTTTTTTTTTTTTTTTTTATTTTTTTTATTTTATTTATTATTTTTTTTATTTGACACTGCCAAAACTGAATATTTTCATCATTTAAAATACTTCTGTAACTGGAAGGATATGACTACCGCAAACAATTGCGAAAATAAAGACCGGGTAAGGGAGTGAGTATATATATGCATATAAATATTATAGACAAAAATTTAGAAATTTAGAACAAAATTCACAAAGACATGAAAAAATGAAAACCAGTATAATCCCAAAATTTTCAAATAAAAAAAATCAACTATTTGTTTTTAAACCAGAAGACTTTCCGAAAACAATATAAAAATACAAAAACAGGAAGAAGAATTTAATCAAAATCTGATTCAAAGTTATTACAGGATGTAGATTAAATTGAAATGAATCCCTCCAAGCTCTTCTTCAAAACGTTGAATACGATTTTGGTAGAATTCCTCTTCCTATTTTTTGCATTTTTATATTGTTCTACTCATTTTGGAAATTCTTCTGGTTTGAAAACAATTAGTTGATGTTTTTCTTATTGGGAAGGTTGGGGATTTTACTGAGTTTGATTTTTTTCATGTCTTTGTGAATTAAGGTTATAAGTTTCTTACTTTTTTGTCTATAATTGATTTAATTTTTCAGCAGCATACTGGGAAAAAATTGTGTTGGAATAATTGTGTTTAAAAAAAAATATTGTGATACTGTTATATATATGTATTCACTTTTGGATCTGCCGATTGGAATGGAAAAGGGCAGTGCACAAATGTCCATACGCAAAATTTCAAATTTCTAAGGCTAATCGTTTTTGAGTTATGCAAAATACATATGTACATAAATACAAACTTGCGTAAATCAGACGTAACGGAAAAGATCCTTTTGAATCCAGTTTAAATCCATTTTACAATCCGTTTTGGAATAAACAGTCCTTTATTCTGTCTGTGCATCCTTTATTCTGTTTACACGTATAGACGTCACGAAAAAAAATCGTCCAGATGGATTCAGGAACGGTCAAAATGGATATTTCTGTTGAAATACGATACCCGAAATGTTTGATTATAATACTTCGTTTATTTCTTACAAAGAAGTTAAAACTCTCAGTACATATTCTTTGAAATAATACAGTGAGTAATAAAAAATGAATGTATTATTTGTTGCATTTTGTTTTCCTAAAGGTCTGCTGTTATGCATATCCTTTCAATACATGTACTTCTTAATAGTTTAGTAAATTAGGAAATACGAAAATCAGCCTCGATGCCATACTCTCAAGGCAGAGAGCCCGTTTTACAGTAATATATTACAGACTTACCAAAAAAAATAATCTCCTTTTTTAAATTTTAAAATATGAATTAACATGCTTAAATTCAATGAAAAATGAAACAACGTAGAGCAAAACATATTTTCGCCCATAGCAGGTTAAGCACTGAAGATATATTTTTCACCGAATTTTCCTCTAAATTCGTTATTAAACTCATGTTTATTGGTATTTATTAAACTCTTTACTTTCTGCTATATCACGTAAAGAATTATAAAAATACAGCATATGATATGGAATTACTTATTCTAAATTATTGGTAGCAAGAAATCAGTAACTGTATTCTTTATTGCACTTTATTCTTTTTAATCCATTTATAAAAGACATTTTATTCGTCATTTTACCATTTGCTGAAGAGGTAGATTTTACGGTAGAAATAAAATACACTTGAAGATTACGAAAAGAAATTTATCAGCTGTGCCCTCGTTTTCTTTGAACTTTGTATTATTATAATGTAATTTTTTGGATGTAAAGAAAAACAAACAACAGAGATAAAGTTACAAGAGCGTAAACATTAGTCAAAGTTACTTTGACTGTTTTGGAAAGAAATGTGACACTTTTTCATTCGCTGAAATACGTTTTTACAGAAAATCTACTTTGATAATTAAACCAGTTGTCTAACTATTGCATAAACAGTAGTTTACAAATTTAAGGAGATTACTTTTGTACGTCTTGCATGTTCTGTGTTGTTGCTGTGCTGCATAGTACAGATTCCTTTTATAATTAGTAAGCCGTATTGCAGAAGCTATGCCAAAACAGCATCATCTGACAAAGTTGGTTCACTGTAAACTGAAGTTATAGTAAAACAGCCTTGGCCAAAGAATCCTTAAGTAAAAAAATCCTGCTGTTTTATTTCTAAGCATTTTTATATTGTTTAAATGAAGCATGCAAAAAGTCCAGGGACATTCAGTTCTCCATCTAAGCAATACTAGTTCTCGAAAATGAATGTCCGCAATCTTCATCTTCGAAGTCATTTATTGAAACAGGAAGTTTAACTACCCATTTCAAGCAATAGCTTGGCAAGACAAATAAATCAAACGTAATTACATATTTCCTCAATAAACTATCACTTTAGCTTTGGAGACTACTTAACTTCTACAATTACATTTGTAGCAGCAACGTCACTGGCTGAATGAGAAAAATAATACTTAAGTAACTGGATCATAGCTCCATTGAATGATCCGCAATGATAAATAAATGCTATACAGCTACGGTAGAATGTCATTCTTGATTTTAAAGCGATTCATTAACCCATGACCGTAATTTAGTATTCGAAAGAGACCAAATATCTTTTCATAACAAATGTAAAGCTCATAACAAGTTTTAAACCCCTTTTATATTGAAAATATTTCTAAAAGCAAAATCTACTTGCAGCAGTTGATTCGAGCGCAACAAAAGATTCAAATAAAAGTGGTAACACAAACAACGATACTGCAAATCTGATTTTCATTTAGAAGAATGCAAAATAAGTTGTTTCAAGAAGCAGATAGTAAACATAGTAAACAAAAGAAAGAAATTATTTAGTGCTTTACTATCAATATAACTTTTACATCGTTTAGTGAAAAAAATTTACCATTTCACTATTTGAAAGTACTGTTTCCGAAAACGGAAATTTAGCATTGAAAGCATTAAGAATGAAATTTAGCACTTTCAGTAATATAGGGGATTTTTGCAGTGTAAGTTTAAAACAAAAAATATGTTGTCGGTATACTTATTCAAGAAAAGAAAATTCTTTAATAAAGAATTTTGTTCTATGAACCCCTGCATCATCTAATGCAAAATATCAAGCAATTTAGCAGAGACACAGTATTAGGATCGTAAATACGAAAGGTATTTTCTCCCATCTTATCCCGTGCCTTCGATCTGCAATTAGATAGCACGTCTGGCTAGCAACCGGGAGGTTCGGTGTTCGAATTCCAGCAAAGTGTCGCTGATTCCTCGCGCTTCTCGACTTAAAAAATTATAAAAAAAACTCTATTATTCGAAGAGTTAAGGGATCTAAATTTATTCCTTATTCATGCTGAACTATTAAAATGCTCAACTATTACCTAAGCATAATTTAAGAGCTGAAATAAATTATATAACGAGATTAGATAAATCCATCTTTTATATTTCATCAATGCAGATGATTTCATCAAACACCCGAGCGCAAACTGGAAGTACGGACGTCGGAGCTGGATTTTGCATTAGTTTGACAGAGTGCTTGTCAGTGATGATTTTGCAAGCTCATCCAGACGCTAAGCAGAGATAATGGGCACCAATGGAAAAGAGCAGTTTTTAAATCATGGTTTATTAATATAAATAGGTATAATATTGAACGGAATTTAATAATGCCAACGAAGTT